GCTCTCTGTCCTCTATTGCAGGTGTCTGGTCCGGTTCGACCATATCATTTGACCCGTCTTATTTAGGTAATCCGACGAACCGGTCTATTTTCTCCGGTTAGCCCAGCAAAACCGGTCTAGTATATAATATCCCATATGACACGTGGTGATTTTAAGGTCATTTATTAGTACAGAGCCCGTGCGATGCACGAGGTGCACAATTTTCTAGTATGTGTAATAAAAATACATACCGTATGCACGGGACAGAAGCACTAAATGAGTCATTTCCACAGAGCTTGCCCGTTAAGTAGCTCCTAAACACGGGTGCACAATTTGTAGTACGTACCATAAAATCAGAATAGATTTTCATACAATTAGATAATAAATAAAGCCTTTTTATTTAGTAAAGATTTTACGTACTTTGTTTTTTTATTTACCGGATGTTATGGAATTTTTTTTGTTAAACCGATTTTGAAATATAATACAAATACAATTAGAGGATTGAACAAAATCAGAGCAGATTTTCATACAATTAGATAATAAAAAAAATTAGATAAGGAAATGAAGGAATTAGATAAGAAAAAGAAGGAATTAGATAAGGAATTTTGAATTTGACTTTTTTTTTTTGGATAGATAGACTTTACGTACAAATTTTGACTTCACTGATTTTATGAGATTTATATTGACAAAATCAATGTTAATATGTAATAAGACAAATAAATAAAGTCTTTTTATTTTAGTAAAGATTTTTACGTCTTTTTTTTACTGGTCAGATGTTATGGGATTTTTTTTCTTAAACTGATTTTATGAGATATAAGACAAATAAATAAATGAATTAAATAAAATTATGGATAGAAATAGCAATGCATTAATTACGTTGACTTTTTAATCTACTAAATTTGGTAAATATGATACCTTATATAATAAATATATAGATAGATACAAATAAATAACATGCCAAAATTTTAAAGAATAAATAATGTATTTTAATTTATTATCTAGCCATCAGTAATATCATTTAATGATGTGATCATTATCTCTTAAATGATAAATATAATATTAATTAAATAAAATATTTATTTTTTATGTACTCAAATAAAAATTAAAAATACTATCGACAAATATGAATTATAATATATATCAGTAAAATCATTGAGAATTTAATAAAATTATTTAAGGAAAGAATCTTTTTGATCATATTTGAATAGAAAATTATATGCAAGCAATTAATGCATATAGTAAAAAATTTCTAAATAAAGTATGCATTAAATGTGAGTTGACTTTTCTTGCTACTATTTTTGGTAAATAGTATGACTTTTAATATAAGTATAGATACTAATCACATATATTAACCTTTAATATCTCGAGGTACACATTTCCTAAAATACTAACTTTAAGAATAAAGTGTATCATTTGATTTGGATAATCATATATTTAAAGAAAAATAATAAATACGCACAACTATTTAACTTATGTAATTTGAATTATTTATTCTATATTGTGTAATCTATCTATATATATATATATATATATATATATATATATATATATATATAAAGGTTTGATTATTTTTAAAATAGTAACTATTTTCCACCAAAAAAAATTATTATTTACTATTTTAAGAAATTTATTTAAAAAAAATAAATTTTTATTTGTACTAATTTAGGATTATATTTTTTTAATAAAGGTAATACAAAAAATACATCCTATCATCCATGTAAATGGGTGTATGCTTGCATTTTCACACCTACATTTTCTTTTCTGGTCAATGGCAAATCAGTGGGCTACTTAACTTCTTCTAAGACTGAGACAGGGGGATCCTATCTCCCCCTATCTCTTCCTCATTGTCTCAGAAGTTTTCTCACCTCTCATCAGAGGAGCAGCAAGTAGAAGGCTCTTCAAAGGTCTCAGACTTGGTAAGAATGGGCCAACACTCATACATCAGCTTTTTGCAGATGATACATTAATATTCTGTAAAGCTGAGAGCCAACAGATCAGAGTGCTTGTGGAAGTGTTGAAAAGCTACCAGGATTTTTCAGGGCAAAATGTCAACATGGCAAAATGTACTGTGTTTTTCAGCAGAAACACTCCACCTCACATGAAGAACTCACTCTACAATGCTTTGGTGGGGATTGAACCTCACAACTTCACAAGATATCTTAGATTTCCCCTGAGTATTGGGAAATCCAAGAAGGAGACTTTTGCCTACATTATTGATGCAGTGAAGAGCATAATGACTAATTGGAAAAATAGGTATTTTTCCACAACAGGAAAAGAGGTGCTCATCAGAGCTGTTATAAATGCCTTACCTGTTTTTTCCATGTCATGCTTTTAATTCCCAGTGGGCATTTATGAGGAATTGAGCAGGTTAACAGCAGCATTCCGGTGGAGTAAGGGTGAGATTCCTGAGAAGGGTATCCATTGGAAGAAGTGGTCAAGTTTAGCTCAGACTAAGAGTACAAGAGGGATTGGATTTCAGGACTTTAAACTGTTTAATGAGGCTCTTCTTTTGAAACAATTGTGGAGGGTAACAACAAGGCCTGAGCTCTCGGTTAGTCAAGTCCTTAAGACCTAGTATTTTCCTACAACTTCTATTTTTGAAGTGAAGAAGAGCCAATCTGCTTCATGGCTGTGGAACAACTGGTTTACAGTTATTCCAGAATTTGCAAAAGGTCTTCAGAGGGAAATCAGAGATGGGAGACTAACAAAGATCCAAGATTCAAGCTGGGTTCCAAAGTTTAATCATGTGAGTCCTATTCCTATAGTCACTAACAGGGTGGCACCAATATGGGTCAGTGAGCTATTGAGTGAGGGTGGCAAAGGTTGGAACGAGGAGCTACTGAAACAAATATTTCATGACATGGACATAATTGCAATCATGGATATTCAGACCATGGCACCAGACAAACCAGACAGATGGAGATTGGTTCTAGCAGATAATGGACACTTCTCAGTAGGAAGCTCTTACAAGCATCTAACGGCTCAGCAGCTTCTACAATTAGATGTAGCTGAAGGCAGTGAAGCAGCTTTGATTGACAAACAAGTGAGGAATAGATCATGGAAGCTTCGGGTCAAAGGGAAAATTAGACACTTCTTATGGAAGTGTTACACAGGGACACTACTAGTGAGCATAAATGTAAATAAAAGAAGAGTTCAGGTAGATGGAATGTGTCATATGTGTGAAGAACACCCTGAATCTATTGACCACCTACTACTCACCTGCCGCAGAGCTTAGTTAGTATGGAAAATATCCCCAATTGAGTGGGAGGGAAAGCTCATGCAAACTCAATCCTTGAAACTGTGGTGGTGGCACGTGTGTGCTCTGGATAATTGTGATATTACTGAAGCTCGAATCCAACTATCCACGTACATCTTGTGGTGGCTTTGGCGATCCCGGAACCTATGACTTCTTGAGAAGGTGTGGATGCCGGAAGAAGTGATAGTGCGAGGAGTTGGCAGGAGTTTACAGACTGTAGAGGTGTTATTTGGTCTTTGTTCGATTTTATTGTCATGTGTGCATGGGAAGATATCGGAGGTTGCATCCCCACTTTTCTTGTGTTTAGGTGTTTGTGTCTCTAGATCACTCGTTGAGTGTATCTCTCATGATCGTTGTATGTTTGATCGAACTTTGTTCGTTTTTTCTGTTATATTTGAAGTCTATCATTGAAAAAAAAAATCTCAAAAACTTCAAGTACGTTTGAATATATTTTTATTTGAGTACTAATGTAGTGAAAATAATAACAATTATTTTAATCTTTCTACCAAGAAGCAGTAGCTCGCGTCCGAGGTCAGTTCTAGAGTGAAATGTTGGTTGTCCAGGTCGGGTCTTTGTTATACATTGAAATAGTGAAATAATTACTAATATATGAGTAAATAAATATTTATTTTTATTAAAAAAAATCCACTTTGATTTTATAAAAATTAGTACTAAAAGATATGAACAATAAAGAATAGTGAAAAAATAAGATCAATGAATAATGTAATTCTTTTAATACGAGGGAGATAAATGAGATATAAAATACATCCAATACCATGATAGATCATGTTTAATTATATTTTAAATAATATTATTTTTTATTTTTAATATAACTTTAAATAAATAAATTATAGTAAGTGGATTAATATAATTGGTCGTATATCTATCAAAGCAAACAACCGTCTATGGTGACCGTTGGTTTTTCTCAACTTGCTCCAGTTTTCCTTTATCACCAATAAACAAACACAGTCCTCTGCCGAGAACCAATAATGGTTTCCCCTTTGCTCAGCGCTTCTATCACTAAGCCATCGCCCTCATTTTCCATTTCTGCAAACAAATTCAAAGTCCCTTGTGCCCCTTTTCAAGAAAAATTGCTGCTCCCAATTGTATCGGGCGTGGGAAAATCGACGCCCATTAAAATTGTTCGAAATTTATCGTACTCGCAAACCCTAGCACGGATTTCGTTTCAGAGTTCTGTGATTCCTCTGGCTGTGTCTCTTGCTGTTGTTCTATGGTCTAATCCAGGTGATTTTTTTCTTTCGTTCTTTTGTGTGTGTGTGTGTTCTTCTTTTTTTTTTTTTTT